AAACTCAGCGGAGCAGGACAAAGGGTTTAGTTCAGAAGGGGAAATAGAATATGAAAGTAAACTTGCAGAAAACAAAAACTGACTGCAAAACCTTCTATAGATATGTGAAGAGAAAAAGGCTGGTAAAGATAAATGTAGGTCTCTTACAGTTAGAATCAGGTGAGTTCATAATGGACAACAAAGAGGTAGCAGACCAGTTGAACAGATGCTTTGGATCTGTCGTCTATAAGGAGGACACAAATAAACTTGCACAAATGCTCGGGGACAGAGGGTCAAGCATGAAGGGGAACTGAAGGAATTCCTTATTCGTCAGGAAATAGTGTTGAGGAAATTGATGGGACTAAAACACAAAAAGTCCCCTGGGCCTGATGATCTGCATCCCAAAGTACTGCCAGAGTTCCAATGGACTGGAGGGTAGATAATGTAACCCCATTTTTTGAAAAAGGAAGGAGAGAGAAAACGGTCAATTATGGGCTGGTTAGGTTAGCCTGACGCTGGTGGTGGGGAAAATGCTGGAGTCAATTATTAAGGATGTAATAACTGAGCATTTGGAAAGCAGTGATAGAATCGGTCCAAGTCAGCATAGAATCACTTAAGGGAAATCATATTTGACAAATCTTCTGGAATTTTTTGAAGATGTGACCGGTCGAGTGAACAAGCATGAATCAGTTGATGTTGTGTCTTTGGGCTTTCAAAACGCTTTGACAAGGTTTCACACTAGAGATTAGTAAGCAAAGCTAAAGCACATGGTATCAGAGGTAGTGTCGTGACACAGATAGGGAACTGGTTGGCAGACTGGAAGCAGAGAGCTAGAATAAATGGGTCCTTTTCAGAATGGCAGGCTGTGTTGAGTGGCATACCGCAGAGTTCAGTGCTGGGACCCAAGCTGTTTGCAATATACATTAATGATTTGGACGAAGGCATTGAATGCAAGATCTCCAAATTTGCAGATGACACAAAGCTGGGTGGCAGTATGTGCTGTGAGGAGGATGCTAAGAGGCTGTAGGGTGGTTTGGACAGGCTGGCTGAGTGGACAAATACTTGCAAATGCAGTGTAATATGGATAAATGTGAGGTTATCCACTTTGGTGGCATAAACAGGCAGGCAGATTACTATCTGAAGGGTGGCAGTTTAGAAAGAGGGGAGACCTGAGTGTCATGGTGAAATGGTCACTGAAGGTTGGCATACAGGTGCCAGCTGGCAGTGAGGAGAGCTAATGGCATGCCGGCCTTCATAGCGAGAGGAATTGAGTACAGGACTATGGATGTCTTGCTGCGTTTACACAGGGCCTTGGTGAGGCCATATCTTGAGTATTGCGTGCAGTTTTGGTACCCCTGTCTGAGGAAGGACATTCTTGCTATTGAGGGAGTCCTGCAAAAGTTAATCAGACTGATTCCTGGGATGGCAGGACTGACATATGAAGAAAGATTGGATTGACTGGGCTTGTACTCACTGGAATTTTGAAAAATGAGCGGGAGGTGGGAATCTCATAGAAAAATGTAAAATCCTGATGGGACTCAACAGGCTAGATACGGGAAGAATGTTCCTGATTTTGGGGATTTCCAGGACTAGGGGTCACTGTCTAAGAATAAGGGTTAAGCCATTGAGGACTGCGATGAGGAAGAATTTCTTCAGAGAGTTGTGAACCTGTGGAATTCGCTACCACAGAAAGCTATTGGGGCCAGTTTGTTAGGGAGCTGAATGTGGCCCTTGTGGCTAAAGGGATGGGTATGGAGAGAAAGTAAGGGTAGGATACTGAAATTGCACGATCAGCCATGATCATATTAAATGGTGGTGCAGTCTTGAAGGGCCAAATGGCCTAGACTACACCTATTTTCTATGTTTCAATAAGTGTGCAGCAAGTCAATATCTCTGTGAAGCAGGCTGGGAGGAGCGTGCAGCAGCCGGTATCACTGTGAGCAGACTGGGAGGGGTCACTGAAACAGTTTGTGAGGTACTTAGTATAAAGTGGTGCATGAGGATGGCATTGACTTTTGTATAAAGCAGCTTGAGAAGAGAGCAGTAAGTTTTGATAGATTGTGCTGGTCAGGTGCATCTTTGAAAGCTATAAATTAGAAAGCATTTAGAGTTTGGTGAGCTGAGTACTTCTCCTAATAAAACTGTTGCAGTCCATTCACTTAACCAAAATAAGGTCAGGAGTTTGGACTGTAGTGGGAATGTTTGGAACGGGAAAAGGCCCCCAGCACAATGAGTATTATTCAAAAGGAACAACTAACAAACTTCATTTCAGAGGATGTCATGACTAGCCTAGCAACAATCATGTAACAAAATGTCAATTGTCACAGTAGCACTGAGCCAGCTCATAGCCTCCCGTCTCACCTAGCCACGAGCAGGAGAGGGTCATGGGGTCAATTGAACCTCTCCATCAAAGAAGATTGATCTTCTCCACATGCCAACTGACCTCCCCCACCACCACCAACCTGCCACTCTCATAACCATTAATTCCCTTGTAGATCCAAATTCTGTCAAACTCAGCCTTAATTCTCGATAACGACATAGCATCTGCTGCTCTCTGTGGAAGAGAATTACAAAGAGTACTTGTGCTTGGAGAGGAGAATTTCCCCCTTCAGTGAACATGAAGACCGTCCCAATAGTTCTTCGCCTTCTTTCACCCAGGCCTGGTATCAGTGTCCCATGAATCAAACTCATTTCTCTCACATCTATCGTTGAGCTACAGATGCCAGACTATGATGTGATTTCCACAATGACAATTTCATCATAGCAATGCAGAGTCTATTCAAATTATCAGCCTGTGTTTTAATTTAATCCTTAGATGTCAATCTTCCCTCAGCAGAATCCCTTTCATTGTCCCTCCTGTATTCTTGGTACCCACATGGACCACAATGCGCAGTGTGATGTCTTTTTTATTTTTTCACGGGATGTAGGCATGACTGGCCGGGAATCCAATGACCCAGGTAATGTTCTGGGAGCTTGGTTCAAATCCTGTCGTGGCAGATGGTGGAATTTGAATTCAATAAAATTCTGGAACTAAGAGTTTAATGATGACCATGATTCATTATTGATTGTTAGAGGAAAAAAAACATCTGGTTCACTAATGTCTAGGGAAGGCAACTGTCATCCTTATCTCATCTAGCCTGCATGTGATTCCAGACCCATAGCAATGTAGCTAACCCTTAATTGCCCTCTGAGCGACTGGGGTTGGACTATAAATGCTTCCCTGGCCAGCCTATCCCATATCTGTTGCATGTCTGCTAATGAGTGAATACAACAAATATCGAACAAGCTGTGAACTCCTGAAAGATAAAGCAATGCTCCAGGACTAGATACCATCACCAGTGAAGGCTCAGTGAGCCTGCATTGTCTTCTAAAACAAAAACAGAAATTGCTAGAAAAGCTCAGCAGGTCTGGCAACATCTGTGGAAAGAAATCAGGGTTAACTTTTCAGGTCAGTGACCCCCCTCCTCAGAACTGATTTCTGTCCAGAAATGCTGCCAGACCTGGTGAGCTTTTCCAGCAATTTCTATTTTTCTTTCTGATTTACAGCAAACACAGTTCTTTCATTTTTTAAAATTCTGCATTGTCTTCAATCTGATTGTCAGTGGCCTGCTGTCTTTTACACCAATCCCCACATTCGGTTCAGTGTGTGGTGTGACAGAGAAAGAAACGTGACAATCTTTCTACCAAATGTGTGATCATTCTGCCATTTCGAGTCACTATACTATTACTGATGGAATATTCTCTTCTTTAAAAGCAAACAGTTCTGCAAAAACTTCAATAATTAATGCAGGAGAGTGAGAATATCATTGATCATTCATAGCACGGCTACACAACAAACAAGTAGGAAAATGGTGTCACTCAGTAAGAATCAGCTCCCAGCAGAGTCCTGCAATTTACTCCTGTGGATACATTAGTTTTTGTGTTACACAAATACCCAGGGTTTTGTGCTTACCGTTCCATTCACAATCCCTTCCCTCATTTCTGTCTTCCTGGGTTTGATTGTGGAGTCTGATTCCAGGAAAATGCAAACCCAGGATTCTCCAAAACAGGGTTGTCACTCTGGGTATATCCAGAGAGTGGATGTTACTGGACAGAGGAGTCCATATCAGCTGCGTCACCCAGTCCCCTTTTGCTCCTACATAGATGCACCTCCGAGTAAGGTTACTGGGCATCACTACCAGAGTAATGTACCCCACAGACCCAGGAATACTGACTGTAATTTCAGTGTCTCACCACAGCCCAGACTGAGCCCCACTCTGGCTCCTTCCTGTCTGAGGTCCAGATATTCTGTAGAAACCACACTGTGGGGCAGGGTGGCTGTATTTCCTGACCTTGTGGCTCAGCCTCTGACCTCACTTTGGGAGATGACCCACACTCAGCTCGAGCTGGAAACTGGGAAATGGTCAATATAATTTTAATCTGGAGCACAGCTGGTTAAAGTACCAGGGGTTGCGGGTGGGGGGTTGCGCGCGGTGGTGGGTGGAATCAGCTGAAAATGTTCGCAATGACAGCAGTGATGTTTGTATCTTCCAACGTTCACACTGTCACTTAGTCCAAATTGGAGTTCCTGCAGAGACGTCAAGATTTTTTTTCAATTTAGAGTGAACTCATTTCCCACAATCTGAAACACATTGAAGTTTAAACAGAAAATAAAGGGATGGAAACACGGTGTAAATAACGGACACTTGGGTTAGCATTTGGTAATAATTAAGAAAAATATTACATCTATATTAAATCTTTATTCAAGTGTAAGCACTCACTTGAACAGTTGCAGACTCCTGCAGTTCTGTATTAGGTGGAGCAATGAGGGGACAGAATTGTTGGTTGAGATGTTTAATGGGAAAAACGACAACTTCAGTAACTGGTTTGTACTGAGAGCAAGGGCAAGTTGCTCAGCACAAAGATCTGAGAAACTGGCAGTGCGTAGCCTAGGGGAGACAGAAAGAACAAGAATCAAAGTTTATTAATAATAGTATTGCTGACATTGATACAACTGTAAAATATGGGATATTCTGTTACAGTAAATGGAAGACAACATTGGCTGGAATGCTCCCAGGCCCTGAATGACATGGACAACAGTGAGAAATCTGGGAGAATCCCATCAGAACTCAAGCAATACCTACCCTAACATTTGAGAGCAACAAGTCACATTTTCTCCGTTCTACATTACTACCCAAGGCCCTACCATTAATTGCATAAGCTCCCCTTGTTTGTTGTACCAAAATGCAATACCTCGCATTTATCCAGATTGAACTCCATGTGCCATTTTTCAGCCTATTGATCTATTTGATCAAGATGCTATTACAATTTTAGAAAACCTTCTTCACTGTCTACTATGCCACCAATTTTGGTATCATCTGCAAACTTACTAACCACGCCTTGTGAGTATTTAAGGCTGAGGTGGATTCTTGATCAGTTGGGAAGTCAAGGATTATAGAGAAAGGGCACAAAAGTGGAAATGTTGGATCAGCCATGATCTTATTGAACGGCAGAAGAGGGTCGATGGGTTGAATAGCCTGCTCCTGTTCCAATGTCTTACTGACTTATGTTGTAATAATAATGTACAATGTGATACAATATATGTTAGAACATGAACACTGACAATAATAATGTAGTGTTATTTTAATACAGAATATTTATAAAATATTTTAATAATTACTGTTACTGACATGAATATGGTATTTATGAACACTATTTCTGATAGTAATAATGTGGTATTGATTAATATCTCTATCACAGATATTAACAATAATGTACAAAGCGATTATTGATAACACTTTTGCTGAAAAGAATAATAACACACAACGTTTAATGCCACTATTACTTCTGCTGGTTACTTTTATTAAACTAATTACACTATCACTGATATAAATAATGTGCAGCTTTATTGATAGCAGTCATTACTGGCACTGAAAATAATGTACAGTGTTATTAATGAAATGATGACCAACAATCATCACAGATCGTGCCAGATATCCAGTTCTTATAATCACAGTCACACCCAATCTGGTACTTACCTCAGTTTCTGTATTTTACAGTTCGGGTTCCCCAGAGCCATAGACAATTGTTTCACTCCTGAATCACACAATTTATTATCACTTAGGTTCAGATCCATCACTGACCAATGTGCAGTGAGAGCAGAGATGAGTTCCTAGGTTCCAGAATCTGACTGACATCATTCAGGCTCGGGATTGGATCAGACAAGTGAAATAATGGATAGCAGAAAACAGGACATGTGTAAAATTCAATACGGACACGGATACTGCAGATAACAATAGCAATGTACAGTGTTTATAAAGTACATTTACTGATAGAAATGATCGAGTTTATTCGTATATTTATCAATTATAATAAAAATGAATACTTAACAATACCAGTAATGCACCATTTTTTCCAATAACACTTGTAATGTACAGTATTTATCATCTCACTGATACTTTATTCACAATCCTATTATTAATATTAATAATGTGCAGTGCTTTTTAATACCATTGTCACTGATACAGCACATTTCAGACAATGTCAAACACAATCGCACAAAGTCTGGTCCTTACTGCAGCATGTGTATTTTACAGTTTGGATTCCTCAATCACAGACAGTCGTTTCATTCCCGAATCTCCCAGTTTATTATGGCCCAGGTTCAGAACTGATATGTACTGACAGCAGAGACGAGCTCATTGGTGCAAGAATCTGAGAGGTTATTATTGTTTAGGCTGGGGACCAAAGACAGAATAAAAACTGGATAATGAGTAGCAAGATGAAATAAAACAGGTAAGAAATTGCGAGACAACAAGCTGCAGGGCTGGATGAACACATCATAGGATCATAGGAGCAGAAAGGCTGACGTTTCGGGCCTAGACTCTTCATCAGCAAAGGGGGAGGGGAAGGGGGTTCTGAAATAAATAGGGAGAGAGTGGGGGGGACGGATAGAAGATGGATAGAGGAGAGGATAGGTGGAGAGGAAACAAACAGGTCGAAGAGGCGGGGATGGAGCCAGTAAAGGTGAGTGTAGATGGGGAGTTAGGGAGGACGGACAGGTCAAGGGGGCGGGATGAGGTTGATCAGTAGGAGATGGGGGTGCGGCTTGAGGTGGGAGGAGGGGATAGGTGGGAGGAAGAACAGGTTAGGGAGGCAGGGACGAGCTGGACTGGTTTTGGGATGCGGTAGGGGGAGGGGAGATTTTGAAGCTTGTGAAATCCACATTGATACCATTGGGCTGCAGCGTTCCCAAGCGGAATATGAGTTGCTGTTCCTGCAACCTTCAGGTGGCATCATTGTGGCACTGCAGGAGGCCCAGGATGGACATGTCGTCTGAGGAATGGGAGGGGGAGTTGAAATGGTTCGCGACTGGGAGGTGCAGTTGTTTATTGCGAACCGAGTGTAGGGGTTCTGCAAAACGGTCCCCGAGCCTCCGCTTGGTTTCCCCGATGTAGAGGAAGCCACACCGGGTACAGCAGATGCAGTATACCACATTGGCAGATGTGCAGGTGAACATCTGCTTGATGTGGAAAGTCTTCTTGGGGCCTGGGATGGGGGTGAGGGAGGAGGTATGGGAGCAAGTGTAGCACTTCCTGTGGTTGCAGGGAAAAGTGCCGGGTGTGGTGGGGCTGGAGGGGAGTGTGGAGCAGACAAGGGAGTCACAGAGAGAGTGGTCCCTCCGGGAAGCAGATAAGGGTGGGGAGGGAAAGATGTCTTTGGTGGTGGGGTCGGATTGCAGATGGCGGAAGTGTCGGAGAATGATGCGTTGGATCCGGAGGTTGGGGTGGTACGTGAGGACGAGGGGGATTCTTTTTTGGTTCTTATTGCGTGGACGGGGTGTGAGGGATGAGTTGTGGGAGATGTGGGAAACACGGTTGAGGGCGTTCTCGACCACTGAGGGGGGGAAGTTACGGTCCTTGAAAAACGAGGACAACTGAGATGTACGGGAGTGGAATGCCTCATCCTGGGAGCAGATGCGGCGGAGGCGAAGGAATTGGGAATAGGGGATAGCATTTTTGCAGGAAGGTGGGTGGGAGGAGGAGTATTCTAGGTAGCTGTGGGAGTCGGTGGGCTTGAAATGAATATTGGTTTCTAGGTGGTTGCCCGATATGGAGACAGAGAGGTCCAGGAAGGGGAGAGAGGCATTAGAGATGGTCCAGGTAAACTTAAGGTTGGGGTGGAAGGTGTTGGTGAAGTGGATGAACTGTTCGAGCTCCTCGTGGGAGCACGAGGCGGCGCCGATACAGTCATCAATGTAATGGAGGAAGAGGTGGGGTTTAAGGCCGGTGTAGGTACGGAAGAGGGATTTGCTTCTGGTAGGAATGCAGAATACACGAGATTGCCCAGCTCTTCTGTATCACGCTCAGCTGGATTTTAGATTTAATCAATTCAGAGTTTGGTTACTGGGTGGGCCTGCAAGAGCTGGCAAATACAATGCCATCTGTTTTGTATCTCCACTCTTATCCAATTTAACCTCCACTGTTTGTTATTAATGTCATCAGCGATACCCTTAAACTTGCATACTTTAATAACATTACAGCTAAATTAATAGTGTACAGTGTCAGACATGTAGTTATTATAAACATCTCACACGTTCTGCTACTTACTCCAGTTCCTGTATTATGCTGCTTGGTTTCTCAGAGCCATAGACTGTAATTTCACTCCTGAATCTCCCAGGTCATTGCTCTGGAGACTAAACAAAAGTAGTGAGAAACACATTTATTCAAAACAAAACTTATGCAAAATTTGTGTCTCTAATATTAGAGGAAACATGAAGTCATCAAATGAGAGCTTCTTTTATATAAAAATACAATTCAACAGGACAAATGAACTTTTGACTGCAATTAATAAATGACAACAAATAACAATGATATTTGAACAATTACCTATTACTGGAGATATACCTCACCCAATTTCACTTTCAATGGAATTTCAATTCCCAAGTCAATGAAACAGAGAAATAAGAACAAAGTGGACTGGCTGTCAATTCACTATCACTAGCCTTATGATGTGGTGAAGGCTAGTATTACTCAGAATCACAGAAGTGCAACAGTGCAGAAAGAGACCATTTGGTCCATTGTGTCTGCACTGGCTCGTAAATGAGCGTTATTGCCAGTGCTAATCTCCTGCTTTTTCCCCATACCATCATACATTATTTCTATCCAAATGATCATCCAATGCCTGTTGAATGCCTCAATTGAACCTGCCTCCAACATTTTTCCAGACAGTGCAATCCATAAACCAACTTCTTGTCTTTGCTTCTTTTGCAGATTACCTCTTTCGAATATTAATTAAATACTGGCATGGATCTTTTGCAAAACGACAATTAGTGGACTGTCAATTGCTCAAGCTTTTTCAGTCCCTGAAGATATTTCTTGCAGTATCTTTTGAGCCTGGCTTCTCCAGAAGTGAGAAGTGTAGCATCCTTCAACATATTTTTTGCTATGCTGTAGTTGCAAGGGAAACAGAAGACACACCTTTTAGATTGTGTGTGTGTGTGTGTGTGTGTGTGTGTGTGTGTGTGTGTGTGAGCGTGCGAGTGTAAATGGACTGTAACAGCTCAAGAAGGCAGAACACTACATTTTCTTGACGGCGATAAATGCCCATGTCCTAAGAGTGAATTCAAAATAACGACAAGGTGGGCATGTGGGTGAGATAAATAGCTAGAGTGGCAGTTTGATAGGTGATAGGTTCGGAGGCTGGCAGATTCCAGAGGTAAGTCAGAGTTAGTCAGCTTGGATCAGGAGAGAGTCAGTTCAAGGGCTCGTCAAGTCTGGTGAAGGGGTGCAGGTCAGATTGGGGATGAGTTTTATTGGTTTGGGTGCAGTCTGTGTCATCTAGGAGTTCATTCACTTTTTTGTCCATATTGATCTTCCTTTAACTGGTATAAAGATCAGTTAAACTGAGTTGAATAAAATAATCAGTGCTTGCGATCTTCCCTGACAGGACCCGTCAGTCTCAATTCCTGTCAGCTTCCTTCAGCTATCTTCTGTGGGTCCCAGAGCCCCATTTGGACTTGATTTGTTTCAGCTCATTGACATGTTCCTGCTGGAATTCCTCTGTTAAACAATGGCTCTGGTCCAGGAATAAATAACATCACAGTTCCTGCTGCTAGCCCACATGCAGGGATGCTGTGGTTAGGGATGTTTGTGAGGGTGCTAGATGTAGATACTGAGGCATCCCCAATTAAACAATGTTGGTGTGAGAACCTCTCAGACTCCTGGAGATGCTGCCTTTGTGTATTTGTCTTTGTTCCAGTCTTATTCAGCTACCTTGTTACAGCCAGTACTGTGATGACTACATTTGTGCCATTCCCTTCAATCAGCTTGATGTGGAGTAACTCCATCGACTTTGTTTTAAGTTTCCACCAATGCCCTTTATTTGATGGACCTTCTTTGGTGCTTTTCTCCTGTCTTCAACTTCTCCAATTCCATTTCAGGGAACCAGCTCCCTGCCAATGTCATGAATAAGTTCACAGACTCCATCCCCATTCCTTTGTCCCATTGACACTACTGTCCAGGCCAATGCTTCAGAAATAATCTCAGCTCCTTCCTTGTACCCATCTTTTTGTTGGTATGATCAACAGTGAAGAAGGTTATCTAAGATTACAAAAAGGGATCTCAATCAATTGGAACAATGGGCTGAGGAGTGGCAGATGGAGTTAATTACATTTTGGTCAAACAAACAAGGGCAAGACTTGTACAGTTAATATAGGGCCCTGGGTAGTGTTGGTGAACAGAGAGACCTGGGGGTTCAGTTACATAGTTCCTTGAAACTTGCATCGTAGGTACACAGGGTGGTTAAGAAGACGTTTAGCACACTTGCTTTCATTGCTCATACCATTGAGCATCAAAGTTGGGACATCATGTTGAGGTTGTACAGAATGTTGATGAGGTCGCTTTTGGAGAACTGTGGTATAGGAAGGATGTTATTAAATTGGAGAGGGTTCAGAAAAGATTTACCAACATGTTGCTGGAAGTGGAGGGTTTGAGTTATAAAAACAGGCAGGACAGGCTGGGACTTTTTTCACTGGAGCGTACGAGGTTGACCTTATAGAGATTTATAAAATCACGAGGGGCATAGATAAGGTGAATAGCAAAGGTCTTTTCTCGAGAATTCAAAACTAGCAGGCATTATTTTTAAGGCGTGAAGAGAAAGATTTAAAAGGGAGTCAAGAGGCAACTTTTTTTTTTTAACACAGAGGGTGGTTCGTATGTGGAATGAGCAGCCCAGAGGAAGTGGTTGATGCAGGTACAGTTACAAATATTTGGAGAGATACATGAATCGGAAAGGTTCAGAGGGATATGG